TAACCAATTTAATATCGAAGGAGAAGAACAAAGTTGGAGGACTGACACAACTTACCTTTAAGACTTAATAAAGCCACAGTAATCAAGACAATGTGGTACTGGCAAAAGAAGAGATGAATAGATCAATGGAACAGAATAGAGAGCCCAGAAAGAGACCCCCATAAATATAGTCAACTGATCTTTGACAAAGGAGCAAAGACAATACAATGGAGGAAAGGTTATCTTTTCTTGGTGCTGGAAGAGCAGGATATAACATGCAAAAAAAAAATGAAGCTAGACACATATCTTACACCCTTCACAAAAATTAACTCAAAATAGACGATAGATCTAAATGTAAAATGTGAAACTATCAAACTCTTACAAGATAACATAGGAAAAAATCTAGATGACTACAACATCAAGGACACAACCCATAAGATAAATAATTAATAGGCGGGACTTCATTAACAGACAACTCAGCAAAGAAGATATAGAGATAGCAAATAAAAGAAGATACTCCACATGATACGTCACTAGGGAAATGCAAAGTAAAGCAAAACTTGGAAGCAACCAAGATGTCCTTTAGTAGGTAAATGGATAAATAAACTGCAGCCCATCCACAAAATGGAATGTTATTCATTGCTAAAAATAAATGAGCTATGAAGCCATGAAAAGCATGGAGGAAACGTAAATGCACATTACTAAGTGAAAGAAGCCAATCTAAAAAGTTTACATACTGCATGATTCCAATTATATGACATTCTGGAAAAGGCAAAACTATGGAGAAGAAAAAGATCAGTGGTTTCCAGGGTAAGTGTAAGAACAGGTGGGCACAGAGGATGATTCTTAGGGTTGTGAAACTGTTTTGTACAATAAAATAATGGTGGCTACATTATACAATTTTCCAAAGCCACAGAATGTACAACACCAAGAGTGAACCCTCGTGTAAACTAGGGGCCTGGGTGATGATGACGTGTCTGTGTGGGGTCATCAGTTGTAAAAATTGCACCCTCTGGTGTTGATAGTGGGGGAGGCTGTGCATGAGTAGAG